TCTAATCGAAGAATTTAATTCAGCAATTAGATAATGCTAAATATTCTTATAAAATTAAAAAAATTAAGTAGATTAGCAAATAGTATATTCAGAAAGATTCCCCCATGTTGGTCCAACTTTGAGTTTAACAGGCAATGGTACTGCAAGTTGACATACTTGCTCCATTGATTCTTTTACTATTTTTGCAACTTGTTTTAAGTCATCTATATTCACCTAAAATGAAATGAGAAGAACCTTTATTACTTCCGCAAAAATTTATGTTAAAAAAATACATATATAACTGTTACTTACCTCATATAAAAATTCATCATGGAGCTGTAATATTAAATAACCACCTCTTTGTTGTGCTTCCCTGCTATTACTTCTTAATTTGCGAGTAGGGTTGCCACTGGGCATAATAGTTGCAGAATTTGGAAATTCGAATCGTATTCTTTCTTCAATATTTACCATTGCTTTTTTGGCAATATCAGCTGCAGAACCTTGAACTTTTGTATTTACTGCTTGACGTTCTGCTTGCGCTAGATTAAAGAAATAACAATAATTTATTTGCATTCAGTTGACCAAATATATATATATATATTAACATTTACATTTTTCTGCTGGATTTGTACTTGTCAATCCTGGAAACATTCTGCGTCTTTCCAAAATAGTTGTTATGTAACCATTTGTACGTGCTTCTTCCAATACATTATTCAGCCACTTAGATATACCTGGATAAGCATTCATAAAAGAATCCAAAAATTCTTTGGCTTTAGCTTCATCCACTGATAAGTTCACAGCAAGTGTCTTCACTCCCATACCATAAATCATCCCATAACATAATTGTTTTGTATGTTGACGTATTTTATCATCGACCTTTTAATCAGTCAATGTTACGATCATCATTTAATAATAAATTGTTTTTATAGTATTAGATAGTATTCTATTATACCTGATCTTCAGGTATGTGGTTCCAGTTTGCTGCAATATTCTTGAAAATATCACCTGGTTTTCGCATAATATCACATAATACTGTATCTCTTGAAAAATGGGCTAATATCCTTAATTCAAGCTGACAATAATCTGCTGATAACATAATATTGCCTAGTGCCGGTATAAATGCCATTCGAACACTTATTGTAAAGCTATTGTCTTCAGAACTGAAATCTCTTGGAACATTTTGTAAATTTGGTTCATGCATCGAAATCCTACCCGTCAATGTAGATGTAACACAATTGCCATGAATTCGAGAATTGTGTTGAGCTAGATTCAATATCGGGTAAATAATCTAAAAATTATATTCTATTACTTCACTCTGAATTAATTAATTAACATATGACTAATGTATGAGTTAATATACACCTATTTATTGTTTAAAAATTTTTTAAAAATTTCTACATACTTTAGATTGAGTTGCATTTAATTTACGCCACGACATCACAAGACTGGATACTGGATGATCAGATTGTTCTAATACAGCTTTATTAACACTAATCTTTTTCTGTTTGCATAAACCTAAAACCTATGCAATTAAAGACTTAACAATTAAATTCAAACAGTTATGAATAATAATAATTCGTTTCATTAATATATCTACAAACCTCTCCAACTTGCTTAGATGAGGAAAAATTGAATCTTCTTCCACATAATGCATATGCACGTTCCTCTAATGATGTCATTTCTTCATGGACGATGGAAGACAAATCTTGTAATGATTTTAAAGATACACCTAAACCAGTTAATTCCATGCAAGCTAGTAATATCACTGTTTTCATTTCGATATCTAAAAATATATTTGATATTTCAAAAATATAAAAGAAAATGATTCATAATGGAACATGTTTATAATATTTATTACCATTATATGTGTGCAATAATGTTGGATTTAGTTGTTCTAATTTATTTAGTAGTTTGTCTGTTACATGCCATGTAAGTATAGCTTCTGCAGATGCTCTGAGTTCTCCTGGTATTTCACTTTTTACATATAATCCAGGTCCTACGTCATAACATGTACCTATTCTTTTAGTTATAAAACATCCTTGTGGAAAATATTCTTTCACCTGAATATTGATTTAAATTAATAATGTAATTATAATATAATATAATAAGTAATTTTATTTATGAAAATACATAGTGCTTACCATTTCATTAAAAGTTTTTTCATAAACGTTCCCATCATACAACCAATTTGCTACTTTTGGATCTAAAAATTTGCAATTTGCAGTAATACCACATGCATATAAAGTTTTAAACATTTCTTTAGTTGCGAAACATTTCACATACAAAACTCTATTAGCAAGTAATTCTTTTAATAATTTCATTTGTTCCTTGCCTGGGACTTTTAAATCTGAAAATTTAACATTTTAGAAACAAGCAAGGAGGAGCATTAATATTAACATAATTTTGAATACCTAGTTCATTAGAGAAAGAAATATAATACGCAATATTGTTTTCCCAAGCAATGGCTGCACCACATAGTTTTTTGTCTCCATGCACGTAACTTTCCACCTTTTTAGATTTCTTCCTTTTTTCAATAGTGGCGGAATCAATGATCTTAAAACCTATATTGTTAGCTTCATCATTATACAATGCACAGTTTAAAGCCAATGCAACGTATCGTTTTTGCATTACTTCACGTTTAAATAAGTTAAATGTGGCTCTGTCACTTCCAACTTTTATAATATTCAATGTATTCCAATTAGTCGTTTCACTTACAGCCTCTGCAAGTCCATTTGTTTTCACACACTTCTTAGAGCTACTTTGAGTATTCCTTACATTAAATTTAGATGTTTGCACAATTTTTGCTGATTTTATGGGCGTATCATCGTCTGAATTTGAAATTAAGCCGTCTATGCTACAATTTTTACTGGTTAACATTTTTTGTGCAAGTGTTTCATTTAATTTCGATTCAAGCTTGCATTTTTCAATTTCTATTTTGTTTGAAAATGTTGCACAATTTTTATCGTTAGATACACGATCGGAAATTTTTTGAGTACACAACTTTGGGTTTTTTACAAAATTAACTTTATTTTGTAATTTGCTACTTGTAGCGGGTGAATTCATATTTTGAGAGGCAATAACAATATCATCTGAATCTGACTTGTTTGAATCTAACGATGTTCCGCGATTTTTGCTAAAAACCATGACGCTTGCAACAGGTGACTTTGCAACTGGTATATTATTAAATCTACGTTTCTGCGGTATCTGTTTTAAGTTATCATGAACATCCACAGTCTGTTCAAATTTCATATCATATTTCTTTTTTATCTGTGATATTGAATTATCGACTTCACCATTCTCTGCAAAATTTTGCATATTTGTATTTTTTATATCTTTGATATTATGTTTAGTCAATACATTGTCGCTATTTTTATCTTTAATTTGATTTAATTTTTCTATTATTTTCCTCGGTTCGTTCCAAGAATCATCTTTCCATGAAATTATACTCTGTTTCACTTGTGAATTTGTGAAATTTGAAGAATTCTTATTCGTATGTTTGTTTTTTACATTTATTTCCACGCCCATCTTGTCGTTAACTTTAGAAACTTTGTTCTCTGTGTGCTCTCCGTCTTTGGGTTCAGATGATTTACTTTCTTCAAATTCTGAGAACAGCAAAGAATCAACGATATTTTGTTCAAGGATATTGCAAACTTGCGTGTCAAGGCTTAAACTATCATCGAAAAGACTAGGACTTTTTGAAACTTCTGGTTTCATGTTATTCTCAGAATTAGACAAACGTGTAATTGTATTTCTGCAAGCCGATATTTTAGTGTTCGTTTCATCTGAGATTCTGATTTTCTTGGTGGGTACATTACTGGTATTCTGGAGCTCATTCATTGAATGTTTAGTGACATTTCGAGTACAATTTCTTTTTTTACCATTGTAAGCGATTAACGATTCACTATCTTGTCTTGAGACAGATGTTATTTTACGGCTATTAGTACTGTCAAAGAAATCAGCTGACAGCTTTTCAGCTGGAGTATCAAAAAATTCAGGGATGTCTATTTGTAATAATTGGTCAGTAAGTTTCATATTTTCATGCTTTGTCTCTTGAGCTGTATTGTTCTCCAGGTCATACTTAGAATTTTCAGTATGTTTTATAACGTTTGCATCAGTTTTAGATCTTCTATCTTTATCGGATTTATGATTTGGTGTGTCTTTTTCTTCATGAGCAAAATTCATATTTTTGCTCATACTTTCGTCGATTATTGAACATGGATTCTTTTCATGGTTATTTTTAATGATAATTTCACTCGAGTGAATTTTACTTTGAGACTGACTATATACAGTTTCAATCTTTATTTGCACGTTCGCGCGTTCTGTAATTTGAAGTGCACTTTGCTGTTCGTGCAAACTTATTTCGGTATCAGATTTGTTTGTACTGATGGACTGTTCGTTTTGTTTCCAAGACATATCTTGCAATCTCAATTCATTCTACGATTAAAATGCAAGATTATTTGATTTTAGAATCATATAAAACATTAATCTTTAATAATGTAACTATCATTTACCTGTACCAATGTTCTGGCCTCATGAACCAACATCATTGCAGCCTCATGAGGCGTTAAACCATCTTTCCCAGTGACAAATACTGTTCTCATTTTGTTTCGTTTTATTGCTTCCGATTCGTGTTCACCGTCCTGTTCTTTTTCACTAGAATATAATCCCAATGATATAAGCTCTTATGTGTCGATGCAATAAAATATTTTGTTAATGTACCTTTCGAAAGGAAGTGCTTTGTAGAGTGCACGTTCGACGTCAAGTTCACTGGCAATAGCTAATTCTGCTACAGATGTGATTCCGTGTTTATAAAGACTTCTAGCACGCAGCCCATTTAACATTGGAAGACGCAATAAATCTAATAATTCTCTACACACGCCAAACTGTAAACGCGTCTGGAATTGTGAGACTAGTAATTCCATACAGTTCCAACCCAATTGCTTGCAAAATTGCGTGATCATTCCTGAGAATCGTTTAGAAATATAACATCGTCAAAGAAAATTCTTATAGTGGACAAGCAATATATTACCAGCAAATGTAGAAGCAGATTGTTGTAAAGTTTGTAGAACTCCACGGCAACAGCCATATTTTTTACAAACTACTTTAAGAGGAACTTCACGGACTAAGTCGTGTAACGCTAATGCAGTATAAAATCTCTTGTGTATATTAAGCTGAAAATAGAAGCTTGCATTATTCAGAGGACATAATTAATAAATGTTCAATTACTAATATATAATATTTACAAATGAAAACAATTTACCATTTTTCCTGATTGTGCTACGCCTCTAATAGCTGATGTTAAAAATCGCTCTTCTACGCCAACAAGTTGTCCAACCCTGCGTTCACTTTCGGATAACATTTTCCATAATTCTAGAAATGTCATCCAATCGATATTTCCAACTTGATTTCCAGAATTTAGTGGTGTCACTAGATATATCACGTGTAATTCTGTATCTAAGACAAAACATCGTCTTGCTTTCTGCAGTTCTTCAAGTAAGACTAAACCTTCCCTAGGTGGAATAGAAGCTGCTAAACATGCTTTTCCAAAAGCTGTAGCTACCCATCTCTGTCCTTCTTCAGTTTTTTGCAATCTATATAATACGTAATACGTTATAATATTACGTACACCATGATACAAAATACTATCTAGTACAAAAGAGTAAAAAATAATTTTATTTTTTCATGCTTACAATAAAAATTCATTGTCTACCAAAAATTTGACTGCTTTATTCCAAAGATCTTCCGAGTCAAATTCATCGCTCAGACTTACTAAAGTACACTTGGTGTACAATTCAAGATCTGATGGGGTATATACGACCTCGCTAGCTATAGCCTCTAGAAGAGCACGAATCAATGGTGTTAAATTCTCAAGGCACGATTCAATTGGTTTCAACGATGCTGATAACAATGTTTCAGCTGCTTTTTGTTCAGTTGGACTGCACATAAGTATACTTTCTCCTACGAAAGACATAACTTGATCTAAATTTCCTTTCACTGACATTTTATAACTTAGATCATTTTATTATTTTCTTACCTGCTGTATCTTTTCCCATTCTACCTGCTCGTCCTATCATTTGCCGATAGCTAAGACTATCTAGCAGTTTGCCAGCAAACTTTGGAGATCTGATAATTACCCTTCTAGCAGGTAAATTTACTCCGCTACTTAAAGTTGATGTAGCAACAAGAACCCTTAAAGATCCAGATCTGAAATAATTTAACATGTAATTAATTTGTCTAAATACTTATACAAGATGAAAGTTATGCGAAGTAAAAACCTGAAAGATCCTTCTATAATATCGCGTTCGTCCATAGTAAGACCAGCATGATGAAATGCTGTTCCAAATGAAACTGTATTCTTTAATACATTATCTAAACCGGTGGGACTACGTTTAAGTTGCTCTAATGTTTCAGAAATTAATGCAGCATCTAGTTGCTGTCTTAAAGTTTTACCTAGATGTGTATTTTCCCGACCTGAAAAAAAACTACATGTTTATGAACATGAAGTTATAAAATAACTACAAATTAAAAAATTAATATTTTTAAATGTACCCAGTTTACAAAATGCAGCAGCAATTTGTTCGGCTAGCTTTTCACACCAATTTTTTGTAGAACAAAAGATTAATATACTGTGCCCATCAGATATTGTTTCAATACATAAGTGAAGAATATCATCTGTATCCATAGTTAATTCTGGCATTGGTGTTAAGCTTCTGATAAGGCATAATTTATTGTCATATATATTTCTGCCAATCTAAAAACATATAATGACTTGTACTGTAAGTCTTATAAATATATTACATTTTTGTAATTTTTAAACACCTTGCACTGTTCGTTTAAAGGTACTGGTCTGAATTCTGTTTTATATAATTCTGCGTCTAACCACTTTGCTAAAATAGGCAAATTTGGAAGTGTAGCAGACATGCCGATCAATTGTATATTAATGTTTTCATTTCTGAAACAAAGGAAAATATAAATTTCTGAATTTATTTTTAATAAACTTCAGCTATTATGTTCTTATATATTAAATATGTATATATTACTTACCTAAACGCCATATATTTTAACTTAGTTAAAAGTAATTCAAGAAGATATCCACGATTTGGATCACCAACAAGATGCAATTCATCTATGATGACTGCTCCTAAATTAATTAATTCATTTTCTTCCATTAAATGATTTATTAATGAATTTGCTTTTTCAATAGTTGCTATTGCAATATGGGTTGCTGTAAACCCTCCAGAGGGCACAACGCCACCCATAAAACCTTCTACTCGAACACCACTATCAGATAATAAGTCCTAAAAAATTATAGTTTAATGTATAAAATGAAATTGATACACGCAACACTTCCAAATTATTTATTCACACAATGAGTAAATCTTACTTGAAAATAATACATTTTTTCTCTAACAACAGAGACAAATGGCAAGATAAAAATCACTTTTTTTCTTCTTTCTAATACTGTCTTTATCATAAGAATTTCTGCTACCAATGTTTTTCCAGCTGATGTTGGAGCAGAGTATACAAGATTACAGTTATTTTCTATAACTTTATAATTTGATAAGCATTCCACTTGCCAATCAAACATAATAATTATTCTTCGTGCTTCATATTTCTGTAACACATAGTACAATAAATAATTTAAATACAAATTAATTTACTTTATATTAGTATAAATTTATGACAAGTAAAATGATATATTATTTGATTCTTTTACCTGAAGAATGTTTGGTGGTAATCCCCATGAAGCTAATTTGCATCGATCTTGGGTGGGGATAATAGAGACAAAAGAAGTTAACTTTGAAGATTTTTGTGCATTACTTATGACGGATGACTCTATATTGCTTACATCAGTTGTGACACTACGTGTAACGTTACTTTTTGTGTTATCAACATGTAAGGTTGACAATTCAGATTTATTACATTGTTTTAGCAATGTATTTACATTGGAGGAAATGTTACTCTTTATGTAATTAACATTTAAATTATCATTTTCCTCATTAATTTTATATAAATTTAAATTTTTTCTCAAGGAGGGATTTTTTCTTATTTTTGATTCATTTGATGCGCTGGTAACAAGCTTTAATTTTGAAACATTACTTCTTTGAAGTTTTTTACATTTTAGATTGTTTTGATTTGAATTAGTTTTCCTGTTAGTAGAGCTAACTGATACTTCTTTAATTTCAGTGACTTTATTAATATCACTTGATGTATCGTTACTCTTAGAAGGAAATGTATCATTCTTCAAATATTTGCCCATATTATTACAATTGTTGTTAATGTTCATATTTTTGACTTCAGCCTGAATACAGGCAGATAAAGTATCATCCCCAAAGGATGGCATTTTATTAAAAGATTGCATTTTGTTCTTTATATTACTCCAATATTATATATTAAAAATATGTTTAATAGTTATCAAAAGATGATACAATTTATTATTCAGTTATCACGATTAGATATATAAATTTTTTTTAATAATTTTTATACAATTTTCATTCATGATTTTTAAATAATTTTATTATTCCATATTTACAAATCAATAAGTTATGTACACAATTGATTTATTAAGATTCATTCATTATTCAATTACATAAATAAAATTTTTTCACTTATATACAAAATTATTAATTATTACTTATCCGTATTTATAGTAAATGTTACGAATGATTCATTTTTTTTTTTAGTTAAATAAATAAATATTACACAATTTTTGTACAATAAGTAAATAAAAATAGCGAAAAGTTCGCATGTTTATATTCACATTTCACATACTCATGTTTACATTTTGTTTGTTACAAAATTTAATACAGATAACATTTTGAATAAATTTTAAAATAGCATACATATGATCAACGTACGACTGCGCGGAGTGGGATTATAGCTGCTTTCTATTGAGATTTTAAATTTGACTAACAATTAATGTGTTACGCAGATTAGGTATAATACAACATATAAACGAAATAACAACAGGAATTATCCATATTTAATATTTATTTCATTTATTGGAAAAAATTGTTTAAGTCATGAGAAACTACCTTAAAATTTCCCTAGAATTAAACATGATCTAAAAAGTGAGCAAAAAGAAATTCAATGTTTGAAGCTTCAGAAGTTCAATTATTTCTATTCTTAATTATAAATACCCATAATGATTGTAGGTATACTGTGACGATTATTTTTTATAAGTAAACAGTCTTAATGTCGTGTGCAAAGGTGTAGATTTGGAGATTATGAAATATCTGCAAATTTGATGTTTTAACATTACATACAAATTGTTTGAAAAATTAGATTGTAATGTATGAATATACTTGAAAAGTATTAGTTAAAAATTAATATTACATGATACATGTTAGGAAATTACTATAGTTGATGTGGTATGCCCTCTATCGTGAAATTTCTGAAATGAATGTTTTGAAATGCAATGGATAATGAAAACACAAGTAAGAAAATAATTATTTCACTATGTATTTAAAGTCAAATGATAAGAAAATAGTTATTTTATTATGTATTTAAAGTCAAACACGCATTTATAATTATCATAGGCCATAAAAGATCTTAAAATATCACAGAAGTTGCTGTAGGTTGTATTACAAAATAATAAGTGTTGTAAATAATGTTTCTATTAAATTTTTTTTTAATAAAATAGAAATTTTACATTTACTTATAATTTAGAGAATTTATAAAATTTCCACAAAAATTGCAGTTGAAATTTGTGTTGTAATATCATTTAATAAGGTGTAATATCATTTAAAATTTAGTTCAAACAAACTTTATTATTATTATTATTATTTATATATTATATTCAGTATATAATAATATACTTACATATAATAATTACTTGTATACTACAGTATACAATAATAATATAATATTATTATATAATATAATATAATAATATAATATTATTATTATTATTTATATATTATATATATTATATATTATATTATATTCATCATATTATTTATATATTGTTATTATTATTATTTATATATTATACATATTATATATTATATTATATTCATCATATTATTTATATATTATTATTATTATTATTTATATATTATATTATTTATATATTATATTATATTTATATATTATACATTATATACATATCCAATTATAAGTTACTTGTTGATAAATAGAGATTCATGAAATATATTTATATACTTATAATTTAAGAAATATATATATATACACAATATTATGGGAATGATAGGAAGAGTGGGGGGGAGGAGGACCATTTTAAAAAGTGAATATTAATTGTGCAGTTGCCATCAAAATGTAATGATGACCCTTAATTGACCCTTCAAATTATATTTCTTTCGAATGTTTAATCGATTGAGGTATTCATTAAAATTATCATTTCGATCTAAATCTATTGAGGAATTTTTTACATTCGTTCGTGCGATGCATCTGTTGAAGATTAATAAGAAAATAGGATTAAAGATGTAATCACGTAATACTGCAATGATCGAAACTTTCCTTGTCCACTTGAACGATTGATGTTAATAAATAAATAAAAAAACGACAAGTAATTTATACAAGTTTCAATTTTATTATTACATGAATGATATGATTAGATGATATTATTAACATGTTGACGATATTAAGTATCGATGAAGACGTGTAACAAAAACGACAGTGTTCAATCACTTTATGCAAGCAAATGTATAAAGAAATTATGAGGATGAATGTTACAATTATTTGTTGCAATTATTATGTAATAATAAAACTGAACGCACATTTTTTTTTTTCGGAGCAGTTAAATAATTATTGTTACCAACACGCGAATATTTATAGGAATGTAAATATAATGATTCCTTTAAAGCGGAAAATTAGGTAATTATTATTGCAACGACACAAAAATCAAATGATTTCAAAAAAGATTTAATTTGTTCTTGACATTCAAAATTCCGTGGAATTGCGCAATGGAACACGTATAATAAAAATAGTAGAACACGGGAGAGGAAGGATTAAAATCTTCCAAAATTTCGTTCTTCACAAAAAATTCGATTTACAAAAATCCTCTGGATCATTTTGACGTTCAGATCGTCCATTCATTACGTTTAACAGCGTTAAGTTCACAACGTTCACACACGCACGTTTGAACACCAAGCGCGAGATTTTGTAAACGTGTGAGCAGAACTTAAACGATCTCGAAACTCTTCATTTTCAATTTCACTCGTGCAAAAAGCTTGTCTAAGAGCAGCAACATCTCCCCCCCCCCTCCCCCCTCCGCCGGTTCAACAACGTTGAGAAAGGTTGACTCGCCGATTTCCAGAAAATATTCAACGGCGCGCAACGATCACGTTGACACGTCTTGTGTGTATGTGTGAGACACGTGTCGCGGGGAGTGTGAACGGGGCCTAAACGCGTCGGACGGGCGGACAGGTGGGCAGACAGGCAGACAGACAGACAGAAGCTGGAGCACCTGTCTGTCCCTCCACTCTTCAGCACGGGAAAGAGGGGCCGGGCAGTATGAACCTCGTGCCCGTGGTTCAGTACCTCGTGCACGCTCACGCTGATAAGACCTTCTGTTCTAATCAGACACCGTCACCTGGCGTCGATATTCGCGGACCTCTCGCGCGGATTTATTTACGTTGCTCTTCGCAATCTGGCGCAATCCATTTGCTCCTTCTACCAACCACTTCCATGCATTTTCGTCTCGTATCTCAATCTCAATCTCAATCTCTGACTTTCTCTTTCTCACCTCTGAGTCGTTCCCTCTTCCTCTTCCTGTCTCGCTGCGAAAGTTTCGCGTGCAGCAAACTGACGTGCAAACTGGTGGCAGGCAGGCAGGCTCGCGCAGCTTCCCACCCGATCCAGGAATCTTTCCGGATCCGGTGGATCGGTCGATCGAATGGCCAGTCACCTCGCCCCTCTAGCTCGCTCCGAGCTTCGTCGAACTTCGTCATAGGTAATAATCACGCGATCCGAATTACGAACGAAGAACTGCTCGCGATTCGATTTCATTATTCCCTTGCTTATTTCACGATGTTCCTTCCCTCGTTTGCTTTGATCGCGCCTAATCGCGCCTGATCGGCCACGTGTTCTCCACTCGTGCTCGATCGGCCACTTGTCTGTCGTGTTCCGAGTTTCCAGTTTCTCGCTTCACCACGTGTGCGAATGCCAACGCGTTGATGGAACGTCATCACCGAGGAAGGCTGTTGCACCCGTTCGCCGAAGGTCGAACGCGACCGAGAGAAATTAGGTGAACCTTTTTCTCGAAGAAAAAGAGCCCCTCGCCACACAGTTGTCCACCACGTCGTTACGTAACGAGGACAAAATACGAACGGAAACGCGCGTTCAACGATCGCTGGGTGACGATCTTTTATTTCTCTCTCTTTCTCTCTCTCTCTCTCTCTCTTTCTCGTGAACTCGATAAAAAAGTCACGCGTCGGGTCACGTATGACATTGAACATCTTTCGAAAGCGCGCGTGATTGCACGATCCCGAAGTTTCGCCGGAGAGGAAAATATTTTCCCGGGGGAAACTCGAATTTTCGGCGGGGCGAGGAATCGAACGAAGCTCAACGTTAATGAAGTGCTCGTGTAACCGCGGGATCACGCGTGTGACACGTCTGTTGCTCGTGGATCGTAGAAATTTCTTCGTGTCGAAAACATTCCCTTTCTTTCGAGGGATCTCTCGAGTGCGGCTTTCGTGAGGAAAGGAAAATCGAAACCTGTGGTATATCGGTACTGTGCTCCTTTCGATATTTTGTTTCCGATCGGAGGAGAGCACCGTATGAAAATTGGTAAGCAATGAATCTTTTGTACTCTGTCGTCCCCTTCGATGACATTTTCTGTGACGACGTAATAGGATATTATTTTACTTCTACAGTTTGTTTCCTTTTATCAACTTTGTCCCCTTTATCTTGGAAAATATTGGCTCGAGACTGTACCGAAGATTCGAAAACGATGCTTCTTCATGATTTTTCTTTTATTGTTTTTTTTTTTTTTTTTTTTTCTTAACTCCTTCAATGAAATTTCCGAAGGACGTAATTAATTAAGGATATCATTTGTTTCTTTTTGCTCAATTTTACTCTTATAAAATATCCGGCCAATCGACGTTTCTTGCTTCGCAATACATATTTCGAAACTTTTACGAGAAACGTTTTTGTGTAGAAGCGTGACACTTTTTTTCACTGAAAGAGAAAAAAAACGAACTAGATAAACTTGCCGCGCTTTGTCACGATTTACGACAATGACAAAAATATCAATACGCGGTCTATTATAGTTATTTATTTATTTCTCCTTGGCATACTTTTTAGCATTCCATTCAGCAAGGCAAAGGAACGAAAAAAGAAAAAAAAAAGGAAAAGAAAAATAAAGTAAACGATTGCAAGACGCGCGCGCGCGCATGTGTG